GCCGAGTTGCTGCGTCAGCGACCGAACTTGGCACATATTGTCTCTTGGTTCTTCAATTGATATCGGAAAGACTATACCTTTAAGCACTCTAGTATGTACCTAGATGTAGTTCTTGTCTAGATTAGTTAATTCTTACACAGTAGCGCACTCAGGGAAAAGTCTGAAGACATAAGCTCATCTTCAAATAAGTACGAATAATACTAGTTACACATATATGAATGTTTATAACGTACCTATTCCATGTTATTTAATATCTGAAAAATAAAGCAAATATGTTGCTGAGAGCAGAGGCAAAGCCCCTTGGCATACCCCCCCCCCCTCCTGGAAGCGTCACTGCTTTTACAATATTATATCCTACACAGGAATTCGTTTAGATGATACTTTTATAAATTTATTTAGAGTACCGAACTATGTTTTAGTTTAGTCAGAATCGACGAAATATATTTTAAATTTTGAAAAATAGATTCACAGGACTTATTTATTTAAATGATAAAAAGCTTTCACTTTTAAAACTGAAAAATATTAGATGGGAACATTGAACGTCATGATTACAATACTTCTACAAAATAGAATATGTTTTTTCCATTCACACCAAAAAATAATGCATATACCAACTTCACTGAATAAATTCTGACGTCTTTTTCCTGGTGTCGATGCGAAGAAAACATTTAAGTAGGTATGGGAAGTACACGCGGTTTTTTTTAGAATATTCATTCGCGACTCGAAAATATCGAAGGACGTTAGCAACTACATTATTATATAATGCGGCGGCAGCTGTTCCAATATTTACGCGTATAACTCAAATCTAGGAATTTTATATCGTATAAACTATCTTAAAGGTCTACTAAGCACGGTTATTCACGATTCTTTAATATTTATAAGGTATCTACTAATTATGTCCTCCTACACTACATAAAAAAGTGGTTTTGTCCGAATTTTGAATTGTTTTCCTTTAATTTTAATCGATTCATCTTCGGTGAAAAATTGCCCGATATCGTATGCAATTAGTGCAGAATCAGTAGCAATATTATACTTAAGTACTCCAAGATGATTTGTTATGACATTGATAACTTGTTGCACAATAATTACAGTGTCAGACAGACCACAAAACGGGAAAATTAGGTATTCCAAATTGTTCCAAACCTAAAACATGACTCATCAAGGAAGGTGATTGAACGTCGACCCTGCTGATGACTTGCAGTTCAATAACCAGGATCGGAACCTGGCCAGTATATGCAGTAAAAAAAATAAAACTGCATTATATACAATCAATTACTAATCACATATTTATTGTATATGCACAATAACTTTTTGCGAGGGTCAAGATCTAGCGTCTAGCGAGATATTGCCCATCGAAACCCTAAAACTGTCGAAACTAGAGATTGGTGTTCTATTTTAATGAATGAACAGTTGATTATCTCGAAACTTATTCGCCCTATAAAAAAGTGTATAAAATAAAAGTTTAACACTAGTATGGATTTTGATGCTTGCCTGTAATATCACTAAACGCCATTTTTTGGAGTTAACATTTGATTAAAATTTCAACCGTAAACGAAAAGAATGTAGGAAATAATTATTTAACTTGACCAAATATGTAGAAAGAGTGTAAATTATCCAAAAAAAATGAACAAACGTGATAACCATTAAATAAAGTTTATTTTACTTTTTTCGTATATTCTATAAAAAATCATCAAAATCTCGTACCCCAAATTTTCTTCGGAGGTTATTCACCTCCAACTGGATACATTTATCTGATGCTTCCTCTCACTCTTCCCCAAAATCCGAAATCGATTGATATTCTTAGACTTTTACATTATTTATAGATATCGTAAGTATCGGTATCTCTGGCGTAAAGAATAAAACCCAATTGCCACACTTCGCGGTCAATTTAAACGGCAAAATAATAAAAGTTGTACGGTTACTTCAAACTACTTAGTGCTGTCTACACAGTTTCTTGATCTGTTCTGACATCAATGGTCAATCATTTAAATTTTGAGTGTAAGGGAAACTAAGCATTCTCCACTCATATTTGCCGGAACATTTTCTTATTCTGAAGAGTTCCCAATAAATAAAGACTTACATACAATATACTATTGTAAAACAAATTTTTCTGTGAAGATAAATATCCTCGCCATACAATTTTCAATACTTCAAATGTAACACCCAGTTTCAAAAAGACAGTTATTGAACCATATATATCTGTTATTAAAACTATTATATATTTTTCAAATTCCCCGCTTTTACTTAAAGATTTACTTAAAATATTTTATACGAATTGAGTAGGAATAAGAATAAACCGAGGAATAAACAAATCAATGTTTTTTATTGACTTTATAAGATTAGATTTAAGATCAGACTATTTTTATTCACGCAAACAAATGGAAGGGGCTGAATTAATACAATTTAATGGTTGTGAATAAAGCAATGTCCATGAAAAAAAAACATCTTGTAACACACATCATGTGTTTTTCGACAACCAATGACAGACAGTAGACGAAGTACGAAGCAATGTCCACACTTTTTATTATTAGCGACATTTTTAATGGGTCGGTTAATTGTCTCATAAAAATAGCTTCAGGATTTAGATTGATTGCGAATTACGTTTCTTTCATCCTCCCAGAGTCCCAGAGGTTGGTTTCGCTTGTGTCAGATGGGATTCCAATGCTCTGAGTAAATTGGAAAAAACATAAAATTTAGGCGGGTCACGAATTTTATCGTAAACATTAAAAAATGATTAACACACACCCGAATAACGACCAATTAAATTTTACTGGTGTAGTCGAGCATAAATATTTTTGCTATTTACAGTTTTCAACGCGTGACGTTAATTATAGGGTATTAGGGTCACTAGAGGTCCAGATGAATGAGACAATAATGCTAAAAAAACGAAGTGAAGATGCAGATTTTGGTTATTTTTCTTTGTAAAATACCGATCACGGCAAAAAGTTTTTTTTTTCCCAAATCTAGTATGTACATATGCTAATATGTACTTGTATACAGATGTCATTTTTGGCAAAGTATATAACCCGAAGCAAATACCTATGCTCTAATTTTTCAAGTAATTAATTATTTTATTAACTGGAATATTCTTATTTGAGGGAAATGATACGATTTCGATTAAAAAAACTGCTGTTCATATGAGGAAAATCAGCGGAAACTTTGGTTATATCGCAACAACTTGACGAGTCTTAATTTAATCAAACACAAAGTACATACATACAACATACATACAAAAGTAGATCTTTCATGGCATGAAGAATATACAACAGAAATAATCTACTATATTAGTTTTATCTCGCAATATCGTTATTCAATACCGGCTACTTAATAGAGACTCACTGCGAAGGATATATATATGTGTCGTATCAAGATTTCCAACGTTGGTTCAGCATTTGATAAAATGTACCTACTGTTGTTGCATAATATTTTGGCATAAACGTGTATAATTCACTTTAATACATCTGCTTACAAGTAATGCTACAAAATTGGAGATAATTTACTTTTTCTACCTTCTATTATTATGTAACAATTATTTTTAAAACAATTTGCACTGTAACGTGCTAATTGTATTTATTTTATTAGATATGACCAGTTTCCACCATAGACTTATTGAAAAATTCTATTTTGTTTACATGCGCTGAATAAAAGCTAGCCAAGAAAGAAGGCAAATTAGGGAAAATTAATTGACGAAAACCTGGTAGTCTTTTCCGATATCAATCTCGGTCGCTGACGTAGCAACCCGGCACTGAAATATTTGAAAAACTTGTTCCCATATTTATTTAGCCATATCAATATACAGGTCTGGTCGAACTAAACGTGGAGGTGGTAGAAATGTATACGCCCAGTTGAAGAATGCGCGCGCGGGCAAATGGCGTACACAGACAGCCGAACTGGGCGACTGGGCAATAAATCACAGCTGTTGACAAGTGGCTCACAAATGGAATAGCAGTGCAGTGCAGCAATGCGGAATTTGGTGTGATTCAGGTAATTTTAATTTATTATAGGCACCTTCTATTAATCATTCATAGAAACATAAAATATTCAAGTCAATTACTTTCTATGTGAAAGAAAAATGAAATATGCGACAAAACTACGTAAATTTGGAAGAATTCTATTATTCGGGGTCATTTGTTATCTAATACAATTAACCTCTGACAAAATAGGTCAAATGCCACAGCATTCCTGTGCGTTAATGAAATTTATCACACCATACTAACTGCTGTCACATATTTCTTAAACAATTCTGGCTAAAAGAAATTCCATATTTTTAATTCATAATCCTAGTAACAAACAAGTAATAATAAAATAAAAATAATAACTGAAAATGCCAGAAATAAATAATCACAAACAATAATCATTTTTGACCTCCCGATACAAGTTGACATTTCCGCATTCCCAGGATAAATCGAAGTTAATGAACATGTAATTGCAGTGATTCATAAGTACCTAAATGTGTATTATGGAAAATAAGAAAGTGGCTCGGAAATTGGATAAAATTAATGGCAGGTAGGTAGGTAGTAAATGAAAAATTAAACAGGCAAAATATGCATCATGACTAAAAAGCAAGTTATCTCATTTTTAAACTTTCATCACGTTATCTGGGGAATCGATATTTGCTATTTGAAAGGCTTCCAAATAAATTGTAAACAAGATTACTGATGAGATTATTGTTGAAACTGAAATTTGGACCATTAGGCAGTAGAATAGGCAGATTTATAACACGTTAAAAATAATGCCAATTTTTATTGGCCAAGGACGCCAGACTAAAATATTAAATTTAGGACATCGGAATTTTCAATTTTCTTGACGTGATCATGCCGTGACGTCTGCATTTCGCCAGGTAATTGTATATTAACACGATTACTATATAGGTACGTGATCCCAGGCACATTATTATTGATTTCAAAGATAACGCCAAATTATAATAATAAGGCAGCTCATTCTGATCGCAAATATTATCCCAGGAAGTTATTATTTAAATGGCCGAAAAAGTTACATACCTGTGTTACAACAAAGGAACCTTTCCAACTAAACAAGGGCTTATGGAACATTAAGAACTGCAACTTCAACTTTCCCATGTCGTCAGTCACTCGAAAACTGTCTGCGAGGGTGGTTATCCAGTTCACTACCTCCTCATTTGCATAAGTAATCAACCCCTGCCCGAACTGGTGTTTACCATCCATGACAAAATTCAGTATACCCCTAACGGAGTTCTCAGTCAGTAGGGTTTCTTCGTCTAGATGGACTATCCAGTCACTGTCACTAAGAATATTTACCTTATCCTCTAGGCAATACTGTAATGCACGTGCTTTGAACAAAGCACCAGATTTCGTTCGATACTCCTTAGGTACAACTACTTCGCGGATTCTCCTACGCTGATCGAGTCCTACGGGTTTATCGGATACAACTTCAATTAAAAAGTTCTCTAGACCGGCATCTAGACACTTGTTCATATTTCTATTAACATTGTTTTTCACTAATTGCGGGAAATCACCCCGCGTCACTACTCTAATGCAGATGAACGGAGCCAATAGAGGCGACCCTTTCAAGACCACTTTGTCCGGAAAGGCATTGTAAAAAGTCAATCCGATAAAGTTAAACAGCACCTGGGGCAAAGGTAAGAATGTTATTAACCGTAATATATATAAAATCGAAGCACCGATTACACCGTACTGCACCCAGGGGTTGATCTCGGTCGCCGGTACTAATGCACCCATATTAAGTACCTTTAAGCCTCCGGAAAATATTTCGAAAACTAAAATAACGGTAAGAAATAGGAGGCAGTGCAAATAGTGCTTCGTTTTACTAGTCAACATTGTGCAGTTTGTGTTAAAATTGCCCTTATAACACGGTTGTCGCTTAATCGAGAGCCAAACTGAAACTGATTTTTTCACTGATCCACTGGTTACACATAAGGCATTTTATGAACTAAAACAAATTTCTGGGGAATATTTAAACTATTTATACTTGAGATGTCGGTTTATTTAACTTTACTTTAGTGCTAAACGCGCCGACAATCTTCTCCAACCGTTCCCCACACTGCCCCAAATATAACTACAACCTGTCAGATGTCAGATGACAGCATTGAACTGTCAGTCTCCTTCAGCGACTGGAAGTTGAAATACCCGTCCCTGTTTACAACGACGAACCTGCAGCAAACTTAAATTTCCTAGTTGCCAAATTTATGAGAATTTACATGTAATGTCAATTAATTGCAATGGCTTTTGTAAACCTTTAAATATCTAAATATTAATATTTTCAGGAATATTTTTATCATATAATTTACATAATTTGGTTATTATTTGACTACACATCTGACTATATAATATAGATTTAATAAAAAAAGTTATTATTGCTGCAACTGTTTATAATCGTTAATCTAGGTGTATATTTTTTGAAATTATACACTATTTCGTATTATATCGTTTTCGTGTTATACCCATTATAATTTTATTATTACTTATTCTTATTATTACTCGTAGGTAGGTTTATAGATGTATATAGGTGAATATCTCCTGTTGAATGAAGTTTAATATTTATTTTGTAATAAAGATTGGGTACATCAGAAGAAGTGACAACCCTGCATGCTTTAAAATAGAAACAGTGCTGTCAACAGAATGCGTGTGTTTTTCCCTAGGCTAATTTAAAATTAAATATTACCAATATTACCATTGATTTTAGAAGTAATGGTAAACATAAGTAGATTTATTGTCTTTATATCCATGCCTAGATATACCTATTATTATTTTATGTCTAATAACTAGTATAAACTATTGTGTGTGCACCTGAGTTGCAATGGGTACTAGAATAGAAATAAAATCAGAATCACTGGCCTCTGTAACATGGATAATAAGTCATTTAGAAACCTTAAATAAAAATAGCAGAAAATATTGCAATCTATAAAAATTGGCTGTGCTTTGTTGGTAACATACCCTGCAGTAGCATAGAAAATATAGGTACCTATTTATTATTATGTGCTGATACCATTGATTGAAGTATTCACTATTTTAGTCAACACCGATACTGTTACATGCATACATACATATTTAAAAAAAAAAACTAACTGAAGAATGTAAATTCACATCCTATACCGATTTGCCAGCCTCAAACTTCAGTAATCTAAATGAAGAAAGAAAAAACTAAACGCACAGGAGTAAATATTTTATATTCCTACAACTGTAGAATTAAATGGTAGAATCAGTAGCTGCTTGTTTTTATTTGATTTATTTAAATAACAGTTTATACACAATACAAACTATACATTTACAGTCTAATGTGTCAATAATGATACACTTTTTAAAGGCCATACTTTGCATAAAGCTCTACTTCTGATTAAACCTTGAGGAACAGGACCATAATGTCTGCTATCTGAAGAGTTACTGGTGTTGTCACCTTGCAACCACACGTGTCCGACAGGTACAATTTGTGATGAAGTAAATCCAGTTTTTATTTTATCACCAGGTAATCCAATTACCCTCTTGCAAATTTGTTGTTTAGGATTGGTAGGACATTTTGCTATAATAATATCACCTCTATTAAATCGTTGCGTTATTGCTGAAATATGTTCTGTAAGTAGTATATCATCGGACACTATTGTGGGTTCCATAGATGGTCCAGAACACTACAAATACAGGTATTATTTAAAATTGAATTACATGTAGTACGCAGTTAAGAATAACTATAGTAAGTACAAAAAGAAAATGGTCATTTACCAGTACAAAATCTCCTACATATTCAAACATACAGTGTGCTACACAGCCATATTTTACTATGTATCCTACAGACCCAATCGTACTAAGTATAAATTTTCTCATATTTTGCAAGAGTATTTTTACAATATATCTACATATTAAATTTTAGGAAAGCTAGTAAATCCATAAACTTAATTCATTATCATTGAAAAATGAATACATTTTAACTTAACCTTTTCACCTTTTGGTGACTGAGACTGAGTGACAGTGACTGACTATAATAAATAGTGACTAACTGACTAGTGACAATGACAAAGACAAAACCATAGAAGACTTAGTAACTTCGTATACTAGTCTTTATGCAACACACATTTCAGTATGATTATTTTAATAGTATTAACCTTAGAACATATACTAGGTGGAGGAAGCATGCTTACGGAGACAATATAGACGAGTATTAGAGAGAGAAGCAGATGGGTTGTATACTCTCTTCCTCAATGAGAGATTGTGTTAGAGGGAGTAGCCAAAGTATAGTCCTTTCTCTCTAGAGTCTACACTTTTTTACACGCAGCGCTTCCTCCGTGTAATATATGCTCTGTGTCAACCATGTCGAGTTCAGTGTGCGTTCATTTCAGGATTGTTTCAGGAAGCCTAACTTTGTCAGTGTTCAGTGGTCAGTAGTTAAAGAATTGACGACGGTTTTATGGTAGTGCGGAAGTTCCGTATTTTAATCCGTAGTCCATTTACAACGTAGCGAATGTAGCGTTCTAGATTGAGAGTAGGCAACAGCACCAGTTTAATTTGAGTTGAGTTTAGATTTAGAAGAGTGTGTAAAGTTCTAGATGATTGTTGAGAACAGTACGGTTCGTTTGTACGAGGAAATACACGGTCGAGATTGTTTTACGTGAAAACTTGTAGCAAAAGAAAATTAAAATTTTGAATTATCAGTACAGTTGCAAATTTTCCAAATCAATTAGTAATTAAGATTTATTGTCAGTAATGCAGTGAGTGGACTAGGTGTTTAAGTTTGACATTTCATTGTCTAAAAATAATATCAGCTACAGTTTTAATTATTATACCTATTGTGATTTAAATAAATTTGAAGTGCCTTGTACCGTACTTTTGGTGTTTTCATAATTCTACAGAAATAAGTGCTTTCAAGAAAGTTGCCCATAGAATGTTGATATAACCCTAGAAAACGAACAGAAAAGGGTAAGTATATTTTGAAGATTTCCTTTGTTTTCTTTCATCCCTTTGTTTAATTAATTCGTTAAAAATGTAATGGTAATGTAATGTTCACAATTGGTAAAAGGTCAATAGAATAGACTTATTTATTTGTGAATAATTGACATAGGTATTTTACATGTACCTACTAAGGAAATGATATATTTTAGTTAACCCCAATGAGTTTATAGCAGTAAAGATGTTCAGTTATGTGTGCTAATTTCTTATCATTTGTAGGTATTGTTAATTTTAATTTTTCACACTTCTTCATTATAAGAATAATTAGAAAATATGCCTTTATGCATTATGCTTATAGCTTATAATTTCTGCAGCAGCAAAAGATAATTATATAATTCACTTTTGATCTAGATATCTTTAAGATAAAAAAATGCTGATATAAGGGTATACATTAGGTAGATATTATGGTCCATCTTATATATTTTCCATCTAGAATGAATTACATATTAATTAAAAATATATCTGATTTATCTATATCTTTAGTCAATCAATATTTTCAAGTACCTACCTAATAGCAACAAAATTAATAATATGTAGGGTATGCTATATTCACATAGGTAAAAAATGATCTTCCGGCACGACCTCTTCAAGGTCGTGTCAAGGTGTGTATATTTTGTGACAAACTTATTTGGAAAGAGGCACATATGATGTAGGTATATTTTTATAAAAAAACTATGTACCTATATTTTCAATTAAATTATAAAAAGTTTTTGTCAATCAAATCATTTTTACAATTATATATCCACCTTATGTAGAACATACGTACATAAAATGTTATACGTGTATTTATTCATGTTCTTAGTACAGGTGCTAGTAGATACTATTTAGGTACCTACCTCGGTATTTATATCAGTATTGACCTATTAGAATATACAGCGTGTTTAAAATTGGATTACTACGTCAAAAACCTGACAAAGGGTAAAGTTGTGCACTTGTGCCAGATAGAGAGAAACCTACTATAGATATCTTCTTGAGATCTTTTTTCTTACGATTAATGAAATGCACTTATGGAATTTTCAAAATACTGTGGCGTCGAAATATTGGTATTCTTAAATGAGCCTTCCGGTATCTCATCACTATGATATAATTGTATGTAGGTATATTGTAGACATATTCATTAAAGTTTTAAAGTTATCAACACAAGTTTAATATTTTAGCCTCAAAATTATCTGATAACATTTGTGCCTTTACTTGAAATACTACTAACGTTTGGTCATAGTAAAAGTAATGAAATACCTACTTCTAATTGTGTTCTCTTGTACTATAAAATATATTGGTACTTGCATACAATTAGATCTCTGAACATGCTGTAAAGCTCCTAAACTGTTTTAAAATAGTTTCCGATAAGAATTGCATATTATTATTTTATATTATCAAGTTCATTATTCTTATGAATCATAATGCTATATTATGCGTTTGTTTACTTTGGGGTTTATAAACGTATAAATTATATTTGCGTTAATATAGGAAAATAGAAACATTGTTAATAAGTAATCTTTTGCAGTTGTTAAATATTTAATTATTTTAAAAGTTATAAATTTACCTAGTTTAAAAATTCTTCTGAGCTTCCATATCATTACTAAATAATTATTATTTTGGTTAGTTATTTCTAAGTTTAGAATAGTGTAAAAAAAAATTAAGAATATAATTGAAATACTTAATTGAATAATAATTAATAACGAAATTATATAGCAAATTTCTTCCAGTTTCCTAAATTAATTATAACATTATTTGAGAAAGTTTGACGAGGTAACTATTATACCATTAAATTATCCACTATTGGGTACTATTGGTTGGAATAGGAAATCTGTTTACTATATAGCACGTTATATAGTGAAATCACCCCGTACTATTGGTATAAATGTAGATATGTATCGTAGTTGTTGACTGTCAACAGAGTTTTTTGACGTTTTGATGATTCTGTAGAATTATTAATTTCATATCCATAATATTATTGTTCGTTTACTTAATATCGCCTAATATATAATTTGCTGTTGTGAGACAAAAATTGAGAGACGACGAGACGACGAGGAAGGTGTAAAGACGAATACTCCTTCTCGAAAAATTGTTACTACTGTTATTCACATGAAGCTGTGTATTGTATTGTTAATTAAAACCCTAGACAAACATTAAAAAGCCTACAATTTGGGGGCTCGTCCGGGATAGTGCCAAGAACAAAGAAAATTTATGAAAGCTGTATTTTAAACTCTATCTTTGATAGGTATAACCTATTTGATTGCCGTAGACCTGATTAGTTCAACCGATTTCTGGACTTAGAAGCTGCCGCTTTGTGTTAACTAACGAAGAATAAACATTTCTCATATCACTCCAGTTGTCATTGTTGGAAGCGAGATAGCAGATAGCCAGCCGTTGCTGCCGTTGAAGACGTTGGAATCGCCAGGTTACATGTTTAAAAAGTATTGGATGTGCTGAGGTAGGAGATTTAATTATACCAATCTTATTAACGCGAAGATTAATGCCTGGTTCAACGATTATGAAAAGAGATTAATGTAACCTCGCATGAAGACTATTGCTGACGTATTTATTTGAATATTTTTCGCTTTGTTGTAAATAATATTTTGGTTGCTTAGGTATTTGTTTAGATACTATCTACATTTCTTCTAAAAGATTAGAGTATTTTCTAAATGTGAAATATTACTTTCTTAGCTATTTTGATTGTCTGTAAAACTGACATATTTATTTATTATTTAATTTGATATATGTAACGAGGAAGAGTATACGTACGTACACGACTTTCGCTTAGTTGAGATTTCGTTTTAAATTTTCTTTAGCATTTTTAAATTTGAATCGAAAATATGACTACATTAGGAGATATAGAGAAAATTGCTCATAATATTAAAAATAGTGCGCTCAAGGCCGTTAAAGCCTTGCACGTGGTTGCGTATGGCAATGAGGGTGAACCGCGAAAAACAAGGAAAGCTTTACGTGCTTTTTCTGGCTATGGGTTCGACGAGGATTCTGACGAATTGATCGAGAAAATAAAAGAGGTTAAAAGAAGTTTAGGGCTAACCGATTTTGTTTCAATTTGTCACATATTAGATCTTGATTATGCCGGTACTAGTGAAGTGTTAGTAACACGAATCTGTTCTTTTTTGAATGACTTGCAGATTGACGATAGAAAAGACGAAGGTGATGAAGAAGATGATGAAGAAGACGAAGAGACGGAAAATGAAGAATGTAGAAACGACGAAGATGACGGAAATGTTGGAGGGGTGCAGACGGTTCCCCGAAGAGCTAACAGAGATTCTTTTGCTTTAACATTCAGAGACGTTGAGGATAGCATAAGACCATTTGACGGCAAAGACGATTATCCAGTTGAGAAGTGGATTGCTGACTTTGAGGAAATTTCGGAAGTAACAGGATGGAATGAACTTCAAAAATTGATTTTTGCGAAAAAGTCATTGAGAGGACTTGCGAAAATGTTTGTTCAGGCGGAAAAAGGTATCAAGACGTGGTCTACCTTAAAGAAGAGACTAAAAACGGAGTTTGAGGTAAAAGTAAATAGTGCCCAAATACACAAATTGCTGATGGCAAGAAAGAAGAAGCGTGAAGAATCAGTACAAGAATATGCATTAGCTATACGCGAAATTGGAAGTAGAGTTAGCATAGAGTGTGAAGTTTTGATACAGTATATCATCGACGGGATTCAAGATGACGTATCACATAAAATTATACTGTATGGGGCAAAGAATTTTGCGGATTTTAAAGAGAAGCTTAAATTATATGAACAAATTAGAACAACCAGAACGCAAGAAAGAAATAATGACTTCAAACCAAAACGGGATGGATTTCAGTCTCAAGAAAAGAGAGTAAGGGATGATAAACCTAAAAAGAGTCAAGTTATATCGTGTTTTAATTGTGGCGCTAAAGGTCATAAGTCCTCTGAGTGTCCCGATAAAGAAAAGGGTTTAAAGTGTTTCACTTGCAATGGATTTGGACATGTGGCGAAAAAGTGTCCTAAAAAACAGTTGAGACGTGAGGAAACGAGTGCGAGTACCAGTACTTCAAATGTAGCAACTATGGAAGTAGTACCCAGGAATAGTGTGAAACTCATTATAGATGGCGTAGAATTGATAGCGCTTTTCGATACTGGAAGTGATATCAGTGCTATAAGAAGTGACATTTATCACTTTTACTTTGGAAATATACCAATGGATAAATCTTTCATCACACTGAAAGGTATTGGATCAAATAAGGTGCTAACATTAGGTTCTTTCGATAAAAAAGTCGTGGTAAATGACGAAGAAGTTACTTTAAAAATTCATGTAATACCAACCGAGGCCTCTAATTTCAAGTGTATAGTCGGTAATGATTTATTGTCTCAAGTAGATGTAAGCTTAAGTGATGGAGAAATCATGATCTTTAAGAAGCAAAAAGAGAACTTTTTAATGCAAATTGCAGTTGACGAAGCAAACGAAGTGGAAACCATTGATTTAAGCCACATCAAGTCTGAGAAAAATCGCAATGAAGTAAGAGAGCTTGTTGAAGGGTATGAGCCGAAGAAGACTAAGGCGACCGATGTTAAAATGAAAATAATCCTGAAAAATGAAGAACCAGTGTATCATAGACCTAGAAGACTGTCAGCGCCAGAAAGGGAAGAAGTAGAGAAACAAATAGAAGAATGGCTGGAAGAGGGGGTGGTAAGACCAAGTTCGTCAGACTTTGCTAGTGCGCTTGTGCTAGTTAAAAAGAAAGATGGTCGGACAAGAATTTGCTGTGACTATAGGCAGCTGAACAGGAACATTGTGAAAGACCGATTTCCCCTTCCCCTAATTGAAGACGTATTGGACAAGCTTCAAGATGGGAATTACTTCACGACGATCGATCTTCGAAATGGATTTTTCCATGTTGCTGTTGAGGAGGAAAGCGTCAAATACACCGCGTTTGTTGCACATCATGGACAATACGAATTTTTAAAATGTCCTTTTGGACTTTGCAACAGCCCTGCT